GCTTAAACAACCTATCAAAGCTGATTAGATGTTTCGTGAATACGTTTCTGTAAGAGTTTATTAACTGCTTTCTGAATACGTTTTCTGCAACAATTTATTGATGTTTAACTCATTATTGTTTGCCTACATTTGAAAATAAAAAGGTTTCAGTATAGCAAAAACACAAAACAAAATTTGTTCGAGCTATTATTTCATTAAGTAAATACGGAAGTGACGCGATAGAAACAAGCTAAATAACGAATAGAAAGAATGCGTGACTTGAATATGGAAGTGACGTGAGTACCAATAATAATACATAGGACATCTACAAGTAATGGATGAAAATAAGCAGAGAAGTGACGCAACTAAAAGTAATAAGGAATTAGAAACAACTAGAAATCATTTTGAATTTATCCCACCGAAATGAAACGTACGATTTCTAAGCCTTCCCAGCCCACCAAGAATTTATTTGTAGTGGAATATGCCCTCTTTTCATCGATTTCCGAGACTGCGCCCAGCATGGTCAGGTGGTTAGGGCACTCGACTCGCAATCTGCGGGTCGCGGGCTCGAATCCCCATCACACCAAACATGCTCGCCCTTTCAGCCGTGGGGGGCGTTATAATGTGACGGTCAATCCCACTATTTGTTGGTAAAAGAGTAGCTCAAGAGTTGGCGGTGGGTGGTGATGACTAGCTGCCTTCCCTCTAGTCTTACACTGCTAAATTAGGGACGGCTAGCGCAGATAGCCCTCGTGTAGCTTTGCGCGACATTCATAACAAACAAACAAATGTAGTAGACTCCTAACAGCCGGTTCGTGGACCAGGTTTGAGCCGGTCCGCGAGACTGTTGAAAACAAATATGGATAATTTAAAATATATGGTTTTGCACTGTAAATTAAAAGTACTTTATCTTTATAAAGTTAATATTCTACGAAGCGGTCCGTGAAAGTTTGAGATCGGAAATAGCTAATTCTCAGATGGAAGAAAGATTGGGAACATTTGCAGAAATATCTTACAGCTGTTGATATACTTCTCTATTAATAATTTGATGTCCATGTTATGGTTGTAAATGCAATATCACCGTAAAGATTTTGTAAAATACGCCTTTACCCTGTGTTTGTAAAGTGATTAGTCTGCTTAGAGTTTCTTGGAATGTGGTCCCTACATCAATGACACAAACACTGAAAATTAAAACGTCAAAAAGTTTAATTTTGTTTTAGGCTTAAGAATAAGGTTGAGGTCTCTCACAACAAAAGAAAAACAGGTCTCAACCAAACTTACCTGATAGGTTCGTTTTTTAATGGTTTATTGATGCAAACGGTTGCCAGTTAAGTTCATCTCTATTAACCAAACTTACCTGATAGGTTCGTTTTTTTAATGGTTTATTGATGCAAACGGTTGCCAGTTAAGTTCATCTCTATTAACCAAACTTACCTGATAGGTTCGTTTTTTTAATGGTTTATTGATGCAAACGATGCCAGTTAAGTTCATTGTCTAACTTATAAAAGTTAAGACTGGAATGAAACTAAAAAAATATTACTTTTCCTTTGCTATTAGTTTATTCAAGTATTGCTGTAGGTGAAGTGAAGATGGAATGAAATTAAAGATTTAATTGTCATAGATTGTAGAATAGATCGTCAATCCAAGCATCGTGTTTTAAAAATGTTTTACTCAATATATATATAATCTATTTCAAGTGATTATACTTGATGTATGGAACGTTGTAAACTGTTTAAGCGACTTACTTTTGTTACATAACACGATCAATGAGCTATTTTATTAAGTAATCACTTTACCGATAATAATGTTTTATCTTAAAAAAAAAACAACTTTTTAATAGGTTTGGTTTGAAAAATAAACATTTTCGACCCAATACTTAACACTTTTGAGATTAAACTTTTAATCCTATACTTGACCGTCTTAAAACCAATCCTTTAATCCGACATTCAAATATCTTAATATCAAATCTTTCAATCCCATACTCCATTCCCCTTAAAATAAACAAAGTATTTAAGCCTGTATTTCACTTTTAATCCTATATTCAACCATTGAGTTGATACGTTTTCTTGAGTCAGTAATCAATTTTTATTGTATTTTCTCTCCATCTTACTCGTCTCACTACATGCAACGTTAATCTTATATAAGTAACTTTGAGCTTGAGGCCATGCAACTGCTTTTGTAATTGTTAAATTATTAGTCTAACGAGATTACTACTGGCTTACCGTTCCAGTGTTCTGAGATCCATCTCAAAGAAGGCTTAATTTGTAGTTCTTAAATTACTGAAATAAAGTGCAAATGATCTGCAGATGGACTGTGAAAATATTTTTGAATCGATGTAAATACTTAAGTATGAAACATTACATACGATGCTTACAACTGTGTGGTTCTACTTGTCTTTATGTGGGCGAGTGTTTGTTTCAGGGAAATGCATCAACTTACGATCTCCTTAGTGCCACAAATTCTAGTAATTACATTAATCTAATCTGAGAGAGTGCAGACTTAGTCTTGGAAAAGAAAATCTTCCGCTAAATAGGTTAGATTAGATGAATTAGTCGAACTAATGACGTTATCATCAAGTCTTGAAGTCTCTAAATCACATCATCATTAGTACAAAAAAGATTTCCCTAAACTTTTAGCTCTAATACCATGTTTTTAGTTTCTGCCTCTCCTCTGTTGACTCTGTCAACATTTCTGCTAAATGCATTTTCAATCAGTAACGTAAAGTTCTTTCCGCTTCTCTTGCCATTAGTGCATTAAAATGTCTAAATTATAGTTCCTGTGAAAATCACCAACACTTTTCAAGACAAATTTATAGTCATCTCGGTAAAAAAGGGGTTCCCTCGATAATTTATAGAGACATGTCAAGGACTTTACAGTAACGCATTTAACAAATGTATACTCGCAAAGTGAATTGTGTGATATAAGACGTTAGCTCTCATATCTTGCTTTGTTTGCAAACACCCAGTGAAGTATTGCCCAAACTAAAACTCAGTAAATCAGAGTACTTTGGTTTAATGACAACAAAATAAAATACTCAGGTTTTTCTATATTATATAAGTTTACGTTTGTATCAAGTTTTCGCCTGTTATTCTCAGAAACGTAGCGCTGATTGTGTGTGCCCCCTGCGAATTTTCCTATCGGGCCCTCTTCATATCCGATTTATTACTATTTATGGGTTCCTATTTAGTGTGCCTCCCCGCATCGCGGGATCCGCGGGGACAGTTGCTACGCCCCTGATTATATAGTTGATAAATATAGTCTTTCAAAGCTTTTTACAAAAATGAAAATATAACACGGAAAACCCTCAGTATTTCACTTTGTTGTCATTTACGACCTCACCTTATAAGTCTCAAAGAATATTTACTGGTGTTTAGTGACGTAGTACATGTGAATTTTTAAACTGTTTTAAACTATTAAAATTTGCTATGCTTCAAAAAATTAATATTCTAGTCGAACTGTGTATGTATCACCAGATTAGTCCATCTTGATCTGTTGAAGTAATACATAGTTTATTGACCACATAAAACATCCTTATACAATAGCACATGGGTAATATCAGATGGTATGTTATATCTGTAAAGAATAGTAAAATTACACAAAGAAAACTTAGATTTTGTAACTTAATCTTCGCAAAAATGGGGACTGCTCATAATGGCAAATTACAGACTTTTTTTCGTTCCCTTGTGATGAAAACACCAATTAGAGTTTGGAGCTTTACTTGAGGAAGAGTTTCAGACCCTTCATCTGATAATGTAAAGTAGGAAATTACTCTAATTCTGTTTCATCTAATATTGCAATAGCTCTTAAACAGGAGAGTAAGTAATTCATATAGTTACTGTAACAGTAACTAGCTTGTTAATAAATGTTGTTTGTTTTCTTTACGTAACACGAGATTGTCTATTAAAAGTGGTAAATTTTACATTTATAAATGATGAGTTTCTATAACTTTACTTCTCTTTATTGCATTTGATAATATTTTCACATTATAGTTCCCTATAATTTAAACGTGAACAAGTATAATACATATTTTTTCGCCTCTTGCATTGGAATTTTTGTTAGCCCACGTTATTTTGAAACAAACCTTTGAACCAATAACATTTTTTGGAAGAAGTGTTAATTAGAAACAAAGATAATTAGAGGCAATAAATAAATAGGAAATAGTGAATTTTTTAAAGGGGTATACACATATAAATAAATATATATATGTAAGTTTGTAAATTTATATTTCACTTTGTTCTAAAGAGCATTATTTGTAGACATAAACGCTACAAGTATACATTCTATGTACAGAGCATGAATATTACTGATCAGAGCTGAATTGTTGAAATGCACAAACGAGTTTGGTTATTTCTAAGATTTTCAGGGCCAGCTTTCAGAATAAACTTAATTGTCCTTCATCGTGTGTTGTTTTAAGAAGGACCTGGAGTTCTACCGTAAGTGTAGGGTTCGACGCTACAACAATTTGTGACCGAAACGGCTGCACCAGACACGGGGACTGGTGAGGGTATGGCCACGGCAGCCGCCGCAGCTGCCGCCGCTGCAGGGGGCAGAGGAACACCAGATTGATTCATGTACGCTATAATCCTGCGCATCTCTTCTAGGGCATTAGCCTGCATGAGGATGTAGTTCTTAGCCAGGAGAAGCGTAGCGATTTTGGACAATTTTCGCACCGATGGGGAATGGGCGTACGGGATGATCGAACGGAGATCGTCGAGGGCGTCGTTCAGGTCGTGCATTCGGCGACGTTCCCTTGCGTTGATACCGAGTCTTACGGTTTTGGCGTGGCGAAACCTCTTGCCGGTAGTTGGTTCTTCTGTTTCGGGCTTCTTGTGTGATTCTTTCCCGTTCGTCAAGGAGCTTGAGTTACCTGCAAAACACGCATATTATGAAAAAAACAAAAAAACTATAATTTCTACTCATGTCGATAACCACATTGAAGTTCGTAAAAAAGTTATTGTTGCTTAGGAACTAATAAAATTAATTTCCTTTGCAGAGAAAATATTGAATAACAATAATATAAATTATATTATACATATGCACAAAAATGACTTTATTGAAGCTTTTAAGGGCTACGCATCTAAAGATAAAACACAGTTACTTTTAAAATATCCATATTTGCTTTTCTAAAATGCTAATATCATGGCGCTACTAGGCTAAAATATGAGTTTTGTATGTAACGTACGTCGAAATGTATTTGACTCTGTTTCATAATTAATTCATATCAGAGCGCCATCTATACAAACATTTCATCTGAAAATGAAAATCGTGAAATCTGTCAAACGTCTTCTACATACCTCTGTTTCCGTTGCACATAATCTAAGGGTAAAATAATAGCCATAATTTGGTTGAAATCACAAAAAATATGATCAGTTAAAGATATGTTTATGAAACCCCACACTTAATCTAGTTGGAAACACCATCAATAAACTTGTTTAAAGATACGATCTGAAATATCTGTGGGTCTGAATTGTTATCATGGGTGATAAATAATGTGTTTGAGAAAAAAGTAAAATGAGGGATGAAATAAAATGTCATTACAAACAAAAAGATATTGACCGTGTAGTGCATATGCTTATCTTGGTGACGACGAAGAACGGGATGAGTAAGTTTATCACGTTAACTTAAATCGAATTCTCCAAGCTTAGAGAACAGATATGTGTTGGGTATCAACCTTTTAATAGAGTCGGCCTTAATCAGCACTGATAATGGTCGGATATTGATTCTGTTTTAAAAGTTGAACCATATATACCGGTCGATTCGAATAATAGAATTCGCCTCTTACTACTTTTTCGTGATAACTTGAAAAAAATTGTTATTTTAAAGCCGCGAATTTAACGATTAGCCAAGAAACACAACTTTTCAAGAATAGGTAGTTTCTCTAGATAGCCACAAAAAAGTCTGCTTTCCAATTAATATTTGGTGTAAAAAAAACTGAGCATTTCTGATGAGATAAGTTGTTATAACATTAATTATACTGTAAGTCTTAGAGGATGAGAAGTTGGATAATTCCTAATAACATAAGATTAATTAAAGGTATTTAAACGTAATGAAAGAAGGTCTGACACAGATAAAGGCACGATGTCTACATTAAGACAAGCAGAAGCACTCAAGTCTGTATTATGAAAATATCTAAGAAAAAATACAGGCAGGACTATACTTTGCTTTAGGCATTTCAAAGCCCTTTGTGGAAGAAGTAGTAGTTATCTTCATAAATGTGTAAAAATTACCAAACAAATAGAAAGAAAACATTAACCTTCATGACACGACTTACTAACAGTATACATAGATGAAGATATGAATGTCTATTATAGTATTATAACTGACCTTTCTTCCCCAAAATATATGAATAAGAATGTACCGTATTTTTCGGAATATAAAAGCTACAGTCGCATTTGAAAGATTGTTATTGAACAAAAATTCAATTTGATACTTTAAAAATTAGTATATATTGTTCTAAACACAAAAGAGCTCAAAACATCAAAATAAGAAAATATCGTGAATCAAAAAAAAAGGTTTAATGTTATTTAGTTTGGTTCAAAACTTACAAAATCTTCATTGCTTCCACTGAGCCCGGCATGGCTAGGTTAGGTTAGGGCGCTCGACTCGTAATCTGAGGGTCACGGGTTCGAATCCCCGTCACACCAAACATGCTCGCCCTTTCA